ATGTTGGACTACATAGTGAGTTATCTGAATGTGGAGGCGGATGATAACTGTGGATTTCGGATCATCGCGAGTTACGTGTATGGTTACTAGAAGCACTGGGCAGTCGTAAGAGAGGACATTGTAAATGAGGTCGACAGCCACCGTCGATTGTACGAGTACATCTATTTTAGAGATATCGACACCGGACTTCGTCGAGTAAGGTGGGAAACGGGCCCTTGTGGACGGGCTCACTGGTTCGAAGTTCCGCAGGACCTCTACGCCGTTGCAACCCTATTTAATGCGGTTGTCGTTCTGTTGGGCTCTGGTCCGCAAGGTGGGCAGCACAACTTCTTCAGCCTCACAGTGTTGCCTCTCATTGCACGATCATCGGCTAGAGGACCATGTCGTGAGATTGTCATGTGCCATCTTGCTACTGTAGAACACTATATTCGTTTAGATTTGACTCATGATTGTCCATTACCGCCTATTCATCCCATGTGGTTCACTCATCGAGATTAATCGGTTGTGGATTGAGAGGATCAGTACAAGGCTAGGTTGCAATTGTTACTGTTCAAAATAGACCTTGTTGAATAAAACAACGATATTATTCGGTTCAACAAAAGAACGATATTATTCACTTGTGGTATGACGCTTCTCATTCAACTTAAGTTTTGCAAATAAAAAAAAATGAATCAGTTCAACTTAAGTTTGGAAAAAAAAAAAAATAACCATTCAACATAATAATGATTTACAATAAGAAAAAAAAATCATTCAACTTAAGTTTAGCAAAAAAAAAATAAAAAAATCATTCAACTTAATATGATTTACAATAAGAAAAAAAAAAAACTCATTCAACTTAAGTTTAACAAATCAAAAAAAAAAAAAATTTTGAATGGTTTATATATTAAAATGAAAAAAGAAGTACCATTAATGCGATTTCAATTGTCCTGTAACTTGAATGTATGTTCCTGCGCTCGAGACAGGCTCGCTCTTCTGAGTCGACCCATCGGGACTCTCAGGAGAACGAGCCTGTCTCGAAGCGCAAGAACATACGTTCATGTTACAGGGCAATCGAAAATCGCATTAATGGTACTTTTTTTTTCATTTTTAATATAAACCATTCAACTTAATGTTTTACAAATAATAAATTTAAACCATTCAAATTAATGTTTTACAATAATAATAATAAAAAAAAAACATCCATTACAACTTTATTGGGCATTGTCGTAATCCAACTTAAACTTAGCAAAATCTTCTTGGACTTGCGCCGCCTTCGGATATTCAACAAGGAACTGCTGCATGGTCGATGTAATGCCCAAAAGACGGTCCACCCACTAAAAAAATGGAAGAATAAAAAGATATGACTAAAATTTATTAAAGAAAATTACTGTAATGAAATAACATTAATTAAAATTTAGTAACCAACTTACATAGCCGGTATTGACACACGTAGGGACTTCGTTCTCGTCCGGCAGCTCCTCCCCCATGAGAGTCGGATGAGACACCCAACTGTACCACTGCAAGTAATCATCAGTCGCCTCCCCGCGATCATGTGTGGTGGAGGTGAACATAGCGGTGTTGACCGTCCCAGAAATCGGGAACTGGGTCCAGGCACCTACTGCAGCAGCCTCAGAATGCTCAACCCTGTAGTTCCTAGACTCCCAAGCACGTACTGCACTGATTGGCGGGTATGTAGGGGGAGGGATAGTCTGGACATACTCCAACTCACGCAGTATCGAATCAATCCGGTATAAAGTGTCCTCGGCTCTATCGCATCTGGCTGGAGCTGCCGTATGGCAACTATTGCACATGTTCACAATTGCATAAAAGCATTTATAAAAATAATTATATTATTTTAAATGACGGGTAACTAAATTTAAATAAAATAACTTCACGTACATCGGAGGCAGTGAGTCTGTTGAGGTGCCGGCGGATGGCTGTGAGCCGATCGTCTGACCTTGGCGCATTCCCTACGCTCCACGAGCGAGATCGTGCGAGACAGTCGGGACCAATGGGTAGACGCCCCTGGGGTCGAAAATTGGGGAAATACTCATATATCCAGGACTGCAGAAGAGTCCCACAGCCCGACAGTCCACTGGAGTCCCCTCGGCTGGCAATACCTAGCTGTCTGTACATGTATGCCAGCGTAGCCGATCCCCATGAGTAACCCCCAATCAAATCCAAGCCATCGAGCACCTCGTTCAGGAGCTTGGGGGTCACTTTACTACCACTCTTATCGACGAACAATGTGGTAGCCAGCATCACCCACATGCAGGCATCTGCCTCATCCCTAGTCGGCCGGTGTTTCCCCCTGAATGCCCCCACAATGGAGGCTTCGGTCACCGAACCACGCTGCCAGGACAAACTCATGAGTTCGGTCTTGGTGACCGAAAGTATCGACATGCAGAGCCCATGGCAGGCGTCTGAATCCGGGTCCTCAGCGACCACGGCTCCCTCCACAGGAACACCCAAAATGGCCCGGACATCGTGCAACATGATGCTCATTTCACCAAATGGCAGGTGAAACGAGTTAGTATCCGGCTGCCATCGCTCCACAAATGCAGAAATGAGTGGGGTGTCCAAGTGGATGTGCATGGAGTCGGCCAGATGTGACAGCCCGGTCTTGTCGATCAGAGCTCTCGCATCGGAAGACATCTCATCACGCCAATCCCTCAGATTCTCGACCGCTTGCATTCTGTTGTGGCATTTCAGCAGCCCCCTAAACTGTCCACTCCACATGCGGGAGGTGACATACCCTAGAAAGCTAGGGATGACACTCCCATCAATGGGTCAACCGTCCACTGGGCCTTTAACGATCCAGGGTGCATCATCATCGGTCCTAGCTCGTTTGCTAGTACCTGCATTACAATACAACATATCTGTATATATAGACTTGTTGGCAGATGCATTAAATAAAATATATTTAATAAAACATATTTCATAAATTTTCCATTCTATTTTTTTCAATTAATGTACAAACGTTACATTTTATATTAATAAAATATAATAACAATTTTAAACCAATTTATTATGTAACATTACTACTAATTAATTATAACAATAATAAAAATAATTATAATAATTTTTTAACTAATTAATTGTATGGTTCCTCTAAATTACAAAATAATAGTTAATATTACATATTTACACCTCATTAATATTTATTAGCAAAAATACAAAATCACCTATTATATTTGCACATATACCTTCATCCTTATCCAAAATCCAATCCAACTCTGCGTACTTAAGTTAACCAACCCTATTTAGGGTCACACACATCAAAAAGACANCCATCTGCAATAATTCGTGTTCTCTGGATCCGACATCCTCATTGAATTCGATCTGAAATAAAATTGCTAGTGCAGATTCACGCCACGATCGGATTCGATTTGTCTGAAAATTTGCTTCTTTTTTTTGTTCGGTGATGAACAAACCGAGGCATTTGTCTGAGACGAAACTGATTTTTACAATCTGCTCTCTTTTTTTTCATATTATTTTTGTTGATTATCAAATTTAGAGCAATATGAGCGGACTCAGGACGATGGCGTTATTGATGGGAAGGTTCTGACGAGTAGAGCGGGGAAGATGGTACTTGAGTTGGATCCGTGCTCTATCGTTTATCGTCCGCCGTCGAGGTGAGAAATCGGGAGTCGTCGGTGACTTCAGGCGGCGTGCGGTGGACAGCAGCGACTTCAAGCGGCGTGCACAGAAGATAGTACAGCCCTTTTTCGGTGACGGAGGGTGAGTGATGCGAAAGAGATTAGAGATTTTTTTTTTATTTACCTAACAAAATTGTACATAATTTATATATTATTTTATTTATTCTGCCTTTTGGGTTGGTAGTGCCGTAGTGGTAACATTTCCAGCAAAAAGTTGATCTCATTTTGATCCGCCCTGCAATATGAGCGGACTCGAGTATATGTTACACAAAATATACTTTAAATATACACTCGAGTTTCAATCGTTTCTCAAAATCGATTTCAGAACCCACATATACATAAAATATACCTAAGATATACACTCGAGATCACGTACATGAGACGAGCAGACACAAAATATACACAAAATATACTTTAAATATACACTCGAGTTTCAATCGTTTCTCAATATCGATTTCAGAACCCACATATACATAAAATATACCTAAGATATACACTCGAGATCACGTACATGAGACGAGCAGACAAGAAGGTCTCAGGCGGTGGTTGAGCAGGTCCAATTGGTTATCTTTTCTTAAATATGGAATATGGAATCAAGATCTGTAACTGATTTTTAGGCAACAATATAATTAATTACTAGCTATTAGGTACACAATTAATTGTGCATTAATGGTAATTTTGTAATATTCCTACAATCGTGTAGGATAAGTGAAAATGTCCCTTTTGTTTTGCCGAGTTATTCAATCTATCGCTTCGAAAAAAAAAAATAGTATTTTCCAAATTCACACAATTCCTACACAAAGATCGACCAATTAATTTGCACCTAAATCAAAATTCACCTAAATAAATGATGCAATTCCTCAGCCCCAATAGAATTTCCGGACGCCGCTTCCATCTCCCGTTCAGATCGCCGGCGAGCTCGTCCCGTTCAGGTCTCAATCCCTCAACTATTCCTCTGCAATTCGCCGGAACGGCGGCCCTCGCCGTCAGTACAATCGGGGCGATCCACGGGCGGGCTGAGCGAGTTTGAGACAGCTGCGGGTGACTGATGGCGGTGCTGGGATGGACGACGGCGACCGATTGGGCGGCGACGGGAGAGATTAGGTGAATGGCAGTGGCCGGTGGTTTGGGTGGGTTGATTCTAGCGTGTCCGGGAGGACGGGAGAGAGAGCGCTGATGGGGATGGCTGGCGGCGCTCGTCGAGATGGTAGCGGCGACAGTCCTGTGGCGGCGGCGACCGGTGATTTTGTGGGCTGATTTTCGTCGGGCTGCTGGAGTGTGTGTGTGTGTGAGAAATTGAGTCTGTATATATGAGGGAGAGATAGGAATAAAAACTTAATTGCTATTCACGGCCCTAGTATTCCGAAACATGCAAGTCTGCTACTTAGTTTAGTAGTAAGGTCCATCAAACTTATTTTGTTCGGAAGATTTTTTAATCAATAATCAAAATCGAAATCTGGCGTTAACAAGAAATTACCTCCAATCAACCGCCACCGCCACCGTTTTCCGTCTCCCGACACCCTCCCTCTGCTTAGTTCCGGTGAGTACACCCCTCTCTCTTATTCGGCGTTTTTCTTATTAACTCCATTAAATTTACTCCACCAACTGCGTTGCTATTTTGTCTCTGATCTGAATGAATACGCTTATGGTTAGCATCATCCGTTGATTCTCTCCCTAAATGTGTTGCGGCTTCTGTGTGAAAATCCAGGCCAAGAGTGAGGAGCTCCGGCAGCTGGTCGGAAACCGCTACCGTGACCTCATCGACTCTGCCGACTCCATTGTCGCCATGAAGTCATCTTGCGAGTCCATCTCCTCCAACATTACTGCAATTCATAGCGCCATCCTCCCCTCTGTCTCCTCCCCCGACACTATCTCACATTCCCCCGAGCACTTGCTGGGACCCGTGCTTACGGGATGGCTTGTCGGGTCAAGTACCTTGTTGACACGCCAGAGAACATCTGGGGCTGCCTTGACGAGTCAATGTTCCTCGAGTCCTCTGCCCGTTACATTCGGGCTAAGCTTGTGCACTCCAACTTGCTTGGATCCAAGGAAAGCAAGAAAGTGCTTTCTAATTTCCCTCTCCTTCAGCACCAGTGGCAGATAGTCGAGGGCTTCAAGGCTCAGATCTCGCAGAGGAGCCGCGAGCGGCTTCTGGACCAGACAATTGGTCACGGAATAAGTGCTTATGCGGATGCCTTGGCTGCTGTGGCCATCACGGACGAGCTCGAGCCAAAGCAGGTCTTGACTCTGTTTTTGGACTCAGGAAAATCGATCATTTGGCAGAAGCTGAGTGCGTGCGGCCGTGATGAGGGTGCGGCTAGTTCTGGAGTGATCTCTGCCTTGTGTGATGTCCTGAAGGTGATTCAGATCACAGTATGTCAGGTGGGGGAATTGTTCCTGCAGGTGTTGAATGACATGCCTTTGTTTTATAAGACCATTCTGGATACCCCTCCGACTTCCCAGTTGTTTGGGGGCATACCCAACCCAGATGATGAGGTGAGGCTTTGGAATCTGTTCAAGGAGAAGCTGGAGTCCAATATGGTGCTGTTGGGCCGGGATTTTATTTCCGTGGCTTGTTCCGACTGGCTTAGGAAATGCGGGAAGGAGATCACGAGCAAGATCGGTGGCAAGCACTTGATTGACGTGGTCAGGAGTGGCTCCGAACTTTCTCTGGCCGAGAAATTGATAAGGGAAACCATGGACAGCAAACAGGTCTTGGAAGGTAGCTTGGAGTGGTTGAAGAGTGTTTTTGGTTCCGAGATTGAGCTGCCGTGGAAAAGGACTCGTGAGCTTGTCTTGGGAGAGGACTCAGATATATGGGACGATATCTTTGAGGATGCTTTTGCTCAGAGGATGAGAGGGATTATAGATTCGAAATTTGAGGAGTTGGATAGAGTTGTTGATGTGGTGGAGTCAGTTAGATCAATATCTAAACCTCCTGGTGATCATGTTGTTTCTGAAGATTACCTGAATAGAGTAGGTGGGGTTTGGTTCATGAATCCCAATGGCAAAACACTAAGTTCTATTCCTGGCACGAAATTGCCCCCGTCTCAAGAAAGTGATTTTGCAAGCTGTCTCAGCACTTATTTTGGCCCCGAAGTGAGCCGGATAAAAGATGCCGTGGATAGTTGTTGTCAGGATGTTCTTAAGGATCTCCTCAGTTTCCTGGAGTCGCCAAACGCGCCACGTAGGTTGAGGGATTTGGCGCCATATGTGCAAAACAAGTGCTCTGAAAGTCTGTCAGCCATATTAAAACAGATCAAAAGTGAACTTGACCACCTACACAGTGATCTAGAAAATGAGAGTAAAGATGAAAAGTCCTCACTTTCGTCAGCTATACTCGTCGAGCGATCATTATTTATTGGGAGACTTCTGTTTGCTTTTCAGAAGCACGCTAGATATATACCAGTGCTACTTGGTTCGCCTAGGTCATGGGTGAGTGAAGTTTCGGCTGCTACTCCATCCCCGATTGGCTCGAAGAATATTAGGGTAGCCAGTGAACCGAAAACGATTGATAGTCATGGGAGCACGAAACAGGCTTCACTAGTGTCTGGTGCACTATTCGGAGCGGATGACAGGTTAAGCCCATATCTTGACGAACTAAGGCAGACAACTCAAGATCTTTGCGTCAGAGCTTACAATCTGTGGATATCATGGGTTTCTAGTTAACTTTCAAATATTTTTTCAAGAAATCTGAAACGAGATGATGCCTTGTCATCAACTGTTCCAGTCAGAGTAAGTATTTTAATTGGATCTTTTCATACTGGTCTGCTGACCCCTCACCCCTCTCCATGTGTATCATCAGATTCTTTTTGTTATTCTTGTTCCTGATCGCACCTTTCTGTGATTACTGTTTAAATACATGCCATATAGCTTATATACCCAAGTGCAGTAACAACTATTTAGTTGTATTTCTATGAGGAAATACCATGAACTTAGATAATATTTTCTTTAATTTGTTGATGTGTGTAAATCAATGTTATCTTGCTTTGGCATCTAAATAACAATAAATCAGTCTGTCATCTCTAAATTATTTTAAACTACTGGAAGAGTCATTGTTGACAATTCTCCTGGCATAGTGCTAATAATGGACTAGATCAAAATGACTCAATTAAATTCTAGTGCTTCTTATATTTGTGAAGTTTCTAGAAAAAAAATATATCAAACGGCGCAATGCACCTTGGGTCGCTACGGAAACAACCTCCTTGTATAATTACAAGGGTAAGGTCAGCGTACAACTGACCCCCAGACCCCAACCTGTTGGGAATATACTGGGTATGTTGTTGTTGTTGTTGTGGACAGGGTTGGGAAGAGACTGTAGTCAAGCCGCAAGAACATTCAAGTGACGTCCAGTCAGAGATGAAGGTATCTCTTCCTTCAATGCCTTCTCTATACATGACTTCTTTGTTGTTTTTTGCATGTGAAGAGATTCATCATGTCGGTGGACATGTACTTGATAAAGCAATTCTGCAGAACTTTGCAACCAAGCTTTTTGACAAGGTGTGTTCCCGACTTTAACATTTCTGGATGTGACTCTGTGTAGAAGGATTTGGGTATAAGGGTTGAATTGTTTTGTCACATTTAAGTGATAGGACTTGTGGACTCACTGTTTGCCACTATCTTTTTCTGAAATTTTCCTTTACCATTTTAAATTTGTTGGCTGATGAAACCACAAATATTTTCTGGCAGTAGATTGTACTGTGCCTTTTACTACTGCTTTCTTTTTTTGGAATGTCGTTGGATGTAACTGAAACTGTATGGGGTTCTCTGTTCGTAATTGATGTTTGCTTTTTGTAGTTATAACAGCACACAACTTTTAGTGAGATTTATTTATTTAGTGAAAAATAGTGCCACAGGAGTGTCGAACAAAGGATCTTCAATAACGGATAGGGAGAGGTAAGATACAAATAGATAATGGGGTGGATTAGATCTCCTGCTGACTTTAGTTTCTCTTAAATCATTTGTTTGGTCAAATCTGAAAGGATTCACTTGTTATATGTGGAGTTGAATGTTATATATCTTTCTTAGTTTTCCCACTTAAATAATGAAATAAGGATGTAAAGCGATTTTGGATCTACTGTCGATCAATGTCATGTACTGTACTTAAAAGATTCGGGGAACAGATTTGTGTATTAAAAAAGAGGTTTATCTCAGTGGGTGTGCAGTTTTACAGATATCACCTTCCTATCATTATTTTTATTACCCCTGGCCCTCCACTGAATTCTTATGGGTTATACTTGTGTAGGTTCATGGGATTTATGATGACTTCCTGTCAGCTGAAGTTCTTAGGTCACAAGTGTCAGACAAAGGTGTTTTACAAGTATTATTCGATTTAAAATTTGCTTCTGATATCCTGTCTGGGGGCGATTTCCATGCAAATAAGGAGGCATCTGAAATCACAAGCGTGAAATCTCCTTATAGAAGGAAGCAGAAAACAGAGTCACAAAATTCATTAATAGGACAACGCACTAAGGAGTTAGTGAATCGCCTTTCACAAAGGCTGGATCCCATAGATTGGCTGACGTAAGTTGTTGAACTGACTTGATCTTTAGGAAACAACATTTTGCATTTACACCGCCTCATAAAATTTTGGCTAATATTTTGTTGAGGTTGCATCCAGGTGCTTGAACTTGGTTGATTTGCCCTTTTGATATTTTAGCTGTCATTACACTACTAATAACAATAGAATGCAAATATCAGAATAGAAGTTAAGCAATAAAAGCTATGTAAGTGGGATTATGTTGGCAGCCGGTCTTTCTATGGGGACAACATCTTTTATCATTCTAACATCCTTCTATTTCTGGACGCGTAATCTTGTTTTGGTGAGTTAGTCTTGGTTTAGGTACTCGTAATATGGTTCGATGTATAGTTTGGCTTGTTTAGCTGTAGGCATTAATAAGCATGTATAAAAGCTAGTTTGACTCCAAGCTCCGGTGAGAATATAACTCTGAGTTAGAAATAAACTTTGTTTGTTCATCCCATATATATAACATGGAAATATTTAGATTTGCACGGCAAGCAGGTGTAATCGAACAATTTGTAAAAATATTTCTTAAACTAGATTTGCATGCTAGTCCCATATAACATGGAAATAATTATACGTAACTGTAGAATAAATCTGGGAACCACCACCGACAATTTGTAACAGAACCTGTCTTCTGCAGTTGTTTCATGTTCGTACAATTTCTTTGATCAAATTTTAATATCCATGGGTGCTCCTTCATTTGCCTGCAATCATGTTATTTATCTAGATTCTATTATTACTTTGGATCCGGAGCTATTATTTACTTTTTCCTCCAAATATGAATGTCTTATGCCTCCAAATATCTTGTGCTGTTGTGTTTTCTGAATCCTAAGGTATGAGCCATATCTTTGGAAGAACGAGAGACAGGCGTACCTTAGACATGGTGTCCTCTTTGGTTTCTTTGTACAACTTAATAGAATACATAGACTCTGTACAGAAGCTCCCCACTAACTCCGAATCAAACATCATGCGTTGTTCTATAGTGCCTCGATTCAAGTACCTTCCCATCAGGTAGTAACTACTATCCTATCCATTTGTAAGAAAAATATCTTATATATTTCTCACATTAATCCTAGTTCAATTGCATTATCCGAAGTGCTCCAGCATTATCCATGAGGAATGCGGCCAGAACCTCTATGTCGACATCCGCGGATGATGCTTACTTGAGGAATTCATGGAAAAGTTACAAAAATGACGAGATGTCTCGAAAGTTCTGATGTTGAGGATGACTCTAGTTTAGGGGTGGCTGCACATTACGGTTAGGGTTGATATTAACGGATGGGCAAGTCGGAAGGTTTGGGGACATATTGCCTGCTCAGGCAGCTGGACTCCTTTCATCCTTAACTGCCACCAGATCAGATTATTAACTGGCCCATCAGTAACAGTTCACTGGATTACGCAGAGTAGCAGATTTTCGGTAATTATCTGTAATTTTGGTTGTTGTGTGTTTGTGTTATAATGGAAAGCTGTTGCATGTGTAGGATTTTTGGAATTTATAATATGATACATTTGTGCTTTTGTCAACTATTGCAAGTTCATATCGTAGTTTTTCATGCATTTGATACAATTTTCCATTTTTCTCCTACGCCCGCCCATGGGTGGACACATACTGACTTTGTGTATTTACATCCATGTTTTTCTGTAGTCAGCTTCTTGGAAGTTTGATTTTTGGTTAGCTCTTCATGATATTATGAATTGTTAATAAGAATATTATTTTGTAGAATTTGCTGAAATCTGCTTACTTTTTCTTAAGGAGCGTGATATTCTCGAGACTTGGTCACTATTTGAGCAGTGGATTCCATAGTTAATTCATATCCCTTTCTATCCAAAGTAAATTTCCAAGTTAACCCAAAATATGATGAGAAGTCCAATAATCATTGAAATTGTCAGTATCCTGTACAATCAATCAAAAATATTCATGAGGTTTGTATGTTTATTACAATAATACCCTCTCAAAAATCTCTCAACAATTTCAGTATTGCATGATGGTAACATATATCGAAAGTCCTGTAATGCCAGAAGATAAGATACCTAAATTATTGCTTTTTGTGAATGGCTTTGTTTTTCAATAACTATTTATTGTATAAAAATACTATTGCATTCTGTTTTTTTGGTGAGTATCAATTTTGGCATTTAGAGAACCAGACTACTACATATGTTTTACAAAGATATATTGATTGTTCGTAATTTTTTGTGTGTTTGCTTGTTTATAAACTTCACTTTACTAGCGTTGTAGCAGGGTGGAGGAAGGTGCAATAGTCTCAGGTCCTGTATTTACCGTAAACCGATACGTCGTGGGTTGTCAACAAATTTTCAGAAGATAATTCCATTCACAGGGTTACTTAGCAATAAGGCTGAAGACAATCAAGGTCCATAAGACTGAATAAACCTTTTCGTTTAGTATGACAGTCAATTCTTATCTTTCCCCACTTTGTATGATAGTTTTTTACTTTATTTCATTGTCATTTTACTATAAGCTGATTTTTTCAACTAGAACAAAGTAAAGGTACGCTACTGTGATGGTGCTCCCTCTGCTGGGGATGGTGACAATGAGATCTGTTAGCATTCTATCCCATTTGGTTACTATCTGGCATTTTATAATTACGAATTTTATTATGTATTGTTCTTGTTTTAGAGTTGCTCCCCCTACAGAGGTGCCATTGATAAAATAGCTACATGTCCCAATAGAATGTGTATGATTTCGAAAAATTAAATTCCTTTTTTTACATGCTATAATGAGACATAAATTTGTGCAGGCTGCGGGTTTGCATTCTAGAGGACACCGGATATGGGAAGCTGCAATGGATAAATTGATGTCTAAAGGCGCTATTTTGACCAAGTAAATTGATCATTATTTGATTTAGTTTTTCGTATTCTTTTTTTTTTCTCATCTCTTGTAGTATTTATTCCCTTCTGACACTTCTTTCCGGTTTTTATCGGCTGGTGGCCTAGCTTCTATTTTGCACTGTGACTAAAAAAGTGAAGTGCCTGAGCGATACTGGATTATTTCTTGATGCGTAATATTTTTATATTTTCTGACTTTTCCCTTTTGCAATTACAAAATCTGTAGTTCTTTTTCTTCCTCCTTACATTTTAGGTGTTTCTATTTCGTTATTGGCAGGCGGGCGGGCCTGTGAAAACTCTATATGTGCTGGGGGCTTACAAAAGGCAATGCCATGGTTAGCGACAATGCCTTTTCATCGGCTGACTGAGGCGACCAGATTCCAACAGTCCTCCGGTGACCGGCAATTCTCCGGCGACAGGTTGTGGAGAGAGAGGTATGTTTTTTCGTTTGTCAGGATTTTTCCACATTTCTCTTTACAGCTTTTTCCTCTTCGGTTAACTATATTCAGATAATTCTCAGTGCAATCGATTAAGTATTCGACTAGCAAATCAAAAAATAGGGGTTAGATTGCGAGTGGAAATTAACTAATCAAGAAAGGAGTGTTCAGAGTGTAAATATGATGTAGATTAGGGTTAGATTGCGAGTGGGGCGCTAGTGGTTGTATCATTTGCTAGCTCTATACAACTTTTTCCTCTTCGGTTCTCTTTATCAAACCTTTTTTTTCAGATAAATGTAACAATACTACAATTATATATATATAAAAAGGTTCTCGCATTGAAAAATAGAAATAAAGAGTTGTTTCCGTAGGAAAAAAAACAACCAAAAGTGCTCAAATACAATTTCAGTTTTCATTTTTTTTTATTTTTCAGTTCATGAATAAAATATTAAAATTTGATAGAGTTCATACTTCATAGTAATACTTTATATGCTTATGTTTTAGCTATTTATATAAACTGGATAATGGTAATATTTCAAGTTTTATAATTTTATATGCTTATGTCCTTAAATTTCTAAGGTCACCGACGAGAACTTCATCATGAAGCACACCATGTCGGACGTCCTGTCCATGGCCAACGCCTGCTCGAGGACCAGCGGCTAGCAATTCTTTATGTTTAACGGCAAGATCGAGTCACTCAAGCTGGTGAGCTTGGCATTGGGTGACAAAATATGACAATTCAATAATATTGATGGAAGTGAGTTCAAGAAATTAATTTTTGTTTTTTGCACGCTGATTTTAGTTTTGTGTTCTGATTTATTGAAAATAAATTAATTAGGGTGTTATAATGTTTGTTTGTTGGAAATGTTCTATTTTTATAGAACTTGAAACCAATTGAAGAAGATACAGACTTGAAGACTTGAATTATGAAGCAAGGTTTAAATCTATTGTATTTCAAATATTTAGTTTTATGTTTATCTTTTCATACTAGACATAATTTCAACTTCAATTCCTTGTGGAAATAAAGATTCAGTTTTATGTACCTTGTGCTTGTTATTGAATTTTGTTATCATATAGGACCCTTTTGTATTAGCATAATCTATTGGTACAACCCCAACATAATAATATCTATGGGTTTCTTCAAGCATGCAATGATGGTGAACAGTAGGTTACCATTTAATTGGGCTAAATTTCTTTAAGATAATGACCTAAAATTATCCCAATTTTATTATTTAGCAGATACATGACTGCTTTGATCAAATTTATTTTAGTATGACTAATTTTTCAATACATCAAGTCTATGCAATTTTTAAATCAACAACTTATACTCTCATTTATAAAACATTTACATGACATTAACAGTAAATAAAATGATATACGATTGCAGTGGGCAGGCAGTGCGTGCACAGCCGAAGGCTTCCTAGTTTTAAAAGAAAGATGAGGAAAAAAGAAAGATTGATGAAAAAAAATTTATGTCTTATAAATCACATCTATAATAAGAAATAATATTAATGCTCTTAAAAAGGATTATAAATATCTAGTATATTTATAGTTATTTCAAATCTATTTATTTTTTAGTTGAAAGTAAATTAAAATTCATTCAAACCAAATGACAAACCATAAAAAATAGTAATATAGGATCCCGAGTCATGCGAGTCTGTCACTTAGGCTCAGTGTATTCGAGAATTATATATAGGGAGACTATTTTACAAAATAATTTTATTCTAACATAACAAATATGGCACTAGTTAAACATAATAAATTATGAAAGATAAATATAATAATATACCATTCTTTCACAAGTTTTAAGTTATTTCTTGCAAATTATTTTTTTAAGTTATGAATTTTTTATTGCAAATTACAGTTGCATTGTTTTTTTTTTCTTTTCTTTTTAATTATATTGATTATTTAATAGTGTAACTAACAAAAATTGTAACAATTTTACTAATTTGACTCATTAAATGAAATGCAAAAAAAATTGTACTATATATTTTAAAACTTAATTTGGCCTTATAAGTGGGAGCAAATGCCGAGTTTCACTTAATTTAATGTCAAATTTTATTTTATTATTCTTAAATTGACATATTTTTATGAAGATATTATTCGTATAAATATATAGATTTCTTTTTTAATTTATGGATTGTCAAAATAAAATTAATTAATAGAAATATATTATATATTCTTTCTAAAGAAATAGAAATTACTAAAAAAAAATAGTCTAGAGTGATTTTTTTTTAATTCTCATTATTTCATAGCATTTGGAAGGATATATGAAAATTATCACATTATGCTAATTTTTTAGACTTGTAGAAAAAATATTGCTATTTAAACATACTCACATTTTGTTTTATATAAATTGGATCATATCTTTTAGTTTGATTTATTTACTTAAAATAATAATTTCTAATTAACCTTTAATTTAAATAATTTTTAAGTTTGATTTATTTAACTTGACTAATATAATTTCTAATTATCACTTAATGTATTAGTATTTGAGATCACTGCCAACTTTTCGAGTAGAAATTTTTAGAAAAAAAAAAAAAACACAAATACTACTCATTTTCAATTCTATCAATTGACTTTTATATCCCAAATTGAATTTATCAATGCCCCCAAAATACTTTTTTCTTTTTAATTGTTCAATTGTGAGTCTTATCACAAAAAAGTGAGTAATTGCTCAATATCTAATTTATAAAATTAATTTTAATAATAACATGATATTTATTTTTATAAAATTACTTTTATATTTCTTTCCCATATCATAATAAATTATTTTTAATATTGATATCATGTGCATTGCACGGGTACGTACTAGTTAAAATATAGTAGTCTCATCACCCAAAAAATAGGGCATGTTTCTTATATCTATATATATTGAAAAAGAGAGGTCAATAAATCAAATGAGGAAAGTTTAAAAAAAATCTTAGTCAACCAAGTTGACTTACTGAATATGACAATCTTTTAAAACCGTGCAATTTAAAATTTTAATTCCTTATATTACGGCCGAAAATCTGTTCACATGGTCTCCCCAAAAATCCGCACTCCATATCTCTCCCAAAACACAAGAGATTTACAATTCAAATCTGTTTATATGTCTCTCAAAAAATCCGCACTCCATATCTCTCCCAAAACACAAGAGATTTGCCATTCAAATCTGTTTATACGTCTCTCAAAAAATCCGCACTCCATATCTCTCCCCAAACACAAGAGATCCACCCAAATTCTTTAGCTGTTGCAGCTCCATAAATCACGCTTTAATCTCCCATAACTCCTCACGATTTCCAAGCAAGGAGTTCAGGAGTCGCTAGATAATCTCCGGATCTGCATGCTAGAGGAGAAGTTGCGGGCGATGATCGGGAAGATTGACGCCAATGGGAACGTCTAGGTGGATGCCGAGGAGTTCGACGCCCTGTACGCGCCGGCAATGGAAAATGGCAGAGGCGAAGAGGGGGGCGGCGGTGAAGAGGACGTGCGGGAAATTTTTGTCAGGGTCGACTGAAATGAGCAGCTGCAGGTGTTTTACTGGAAATTTTTGTCACTGTATTGATTATTTCGATCAATTTTTTTGTCGGAAAGAAGAGAATGCCAGTTTGAGTTTGTGCACTTGCCCCTTCCATGAAATGCATCCCTTTTTTTCTACCTTACTGTCATCTGAGTGTAGGAAACTTTCGTTAGTTGATTCAATTGAGCATTGGCTGTAATCATTAAAGCTCATGGTGTTTGTGATGTGCTGCCAAGCATAGGTATTAAGAAAGCTGTGAAGACAGAAAAGGCTCCAGCAGCAGTGGGGCCATATTCTCAAGCAATTAAGGCGAATAATATGGTCTTTGTCTTTGGAGTTCTTGGACTGATTCCAGAGGTCTGTAAAATTATCTTTATAATGTGGTGAAAGATTTCACCTTTGGGAAATAAAGTTTCGTTTTTGTAATTGTAAATGTACAAGTGCACGTGTACAATTCAGTTAAGGGAAGTTGTAAGTTCTTTTTTCTGTTCAAAATTGCAGACTGGGAAATTTGTCTCGGAGGATGTAGAGGATCAAACTGAACAGGTATGCTACACCAGTAATTCTACAATAGGCCTCTGATTTTATTTTACCAAGATTTGTTTGAGAGGTTAGTAGAAAACATGTATAAATTTATAGCACCTTATGGAAGCACCATTTCATGAGTAACCTATCGAGAAAAGTACCACACATCGATAGATCTCGTGGTGGACTTTAGTGCTTTAACTTAGCAAAGGAGCTGGGGCTTTTCTTGAGTAAATTCATAAGCAAGAGGAGACTTCTTGATTGTTTTGTTTAGTTGTCATGTTTCATCCATATGTTAATTCCTTAAACTTTCACGTATAAGAAGTTTGAATATACATGTAACTAATTGTGTCTGCATCAACTGATTTTCGAGTTGGCCATTGTTTATGTCATGTATATTGCTCATGAAATGGTCCAGTAATCTAATGTGTGGGATTGCTCAAATTGTAACTGGAGGTTTCTGGCTGCAAATTAGCTCTAAGTTGTTAGCGTGTAGATATTTTTATAAATTTTTTTGTTTTGATGTGCAAATTGCAATTTGGTTTCAGTGGACACTTCACTCTTCAAAGCTGAGTTATGCCTTTGTCCATGTTTTGTTATTTTCTGATTGTATATTCTTATCTGTTTGTATTATGGTAGTTTGGCATTGGACTGCTTTGTGGCTTTGCTGTTTTAGTGGGTGCTGTCAAATTCTTATTCTCTTGCAGTGGGTTGTTTCTTGTGCAGACTAAGGGCCATAACATGTAATGTTGCCTTAGTTTGTTAGTATTTTGTGTAGATTTTGGGTATAGGCCACCAGTGAGTGTGGTTCTCCTTTGCATTGTGGCATTGAGCATTTTTCTCCCAGTTTTATCTTGTGTACATTGATATAAAATTTCCTATCGTTGCAAAAAAAATAAAAAATAAATAAATAAATAAAAGATGTGCAAATTGCAATTGCCAATTGATTGGTGTAGTTTATTGATTTTGATTATTGCATCTATTTTTTAATGTGCAAAGAACTAATTTTATGTTTTCGATCTGCAAATTGCTTATGGAATCAAGATTTTTGTTTTGATGTGAAAATTGCAATTGCCAATTGGTTGGCGTAGTTTATGAATTTTGATTCTTGCCTCTATTTTAATTGGGATGAGAATTAATTTTATGTTTCGATCTACAAATTGCTTTGGGTTTAGGCATAAATCGGTTAAACAGTTTCAGCGCGAAAAAGGTGACTCGAGGGCCTTCGCAGGCCGCGTTGGGACTGCTTCGTGTGTGGGTTTGATCGGTGGGCAGTTGAGCTTCACGATTGGAAACTCACAGTCAGTGGACGTGTTACGTAACATTAGCATATAATATATTCTCATGGATAATAAGTAGTTAGCATATTTTTGTTTATGTTCAAATATTATTCTACAATAGTCGCATCATTATAAATCTCTAGAAACCCCGTTAAGTGGTTACATTTGAGACAAATTAATTTTTTTCTAAAAGATGTATAGATAAGTTATGCTATATAATTCATCTTTTAAATTTATTTTTATGTGGTCAATAAATAAAAAAATAGACATATCACGTATGGTTATATTTGAATTTTCATTTTTTTTTTGTTCTAGAGACAAGTTAATAAAAATAATTAGATATCGAAAAAAATGATTTTTTTCGTAAATTTCCGCCCAAAGGACATTTGATGATTTTTTAAAAATTAAATTTTGTAATTCTGGTGCAAATCGGCTATGTTATTTAAATTAGTCAATAATTTTAATCTAAATTTAATCGGTTATGTCATTTAAATTAGTAATAATTTTAATTTATAAATATTAATAAATATTAATTTATAAATATTAATAAATTAGGAAAAAAATTTGTGATAATAACTTCCAAGATATTTTGGAACAAATTCAGTTGCAATTATTTTCGAAAAGCTATTCAAATCAATTACACTTCATTTTATAAGAAAACAATGTGTACAACTTTTTAAAATTTGATATCACCTTTAAAATGTGGATTACGATATCTTTTTCTTAACAAATTTATTGAAATTTTGATAAGTTAATTTCAAATCAATTATTTGGAATAAAACTTGGTGTATCTTTGGTGTTTGCACGGTATCTTTTAAAAAACACGTGAGATATTATTGTTTAAAACCGTGACATTTTGGTGTCAATATTTAATTTAATTTTTTTTGTAACAATCTATCGCACATTTAAGAAAAAAATTTATCTATTCTTTTCACATTTCCTTAATTTTTTTTATATTTTGGTTAAATAATTTCAGTTCGATTATTTTAATTATTTGTGTATTTCCAATAAACATGTTTAGTAGTAAATTAATTGTGTTTATCTCTTTCAATTATGTTTATCTATTTGAACAAATCTTATCATTATGATATAGTATTATTTTAAAATTATTGTCAACCTCATTTCAAACGTGTGATTCTTTTTTTTTTCTCGAAACGATGGGGATTTTATAAATCACACAGAAGTGCGAAAGTAAATAGCCCAAACATGTGTGATTCAATTTTTTGGACATTAATTTATTTTTTAAAATATTTGTATGGGATAATAACTAAAAAAACAGAGTGAATTTAGTTACAAATACGGTTGAATCTAAAGAAAAAAAAATACTCAAATCTTAATCATTTTATTTTTTAAGAGAAACCATGTGCAACTTTTTTGGGAACAAAAATACTCAAGGAAAAATCGTATGCAACTTTTTAAAATTTGAATGCACTAATTTTTTGGATCCTTATTTTTTTTAACTATGTTTTACCAAGATTTTGGTAAGTTGATATCAATTTATTTTGTTAAGTGCAGATCAATTTTTTAGGAAAGAAACAGTAGCATAAACCTTAACAAATTATTCTATTTTTTAATTAGAATTTATTTTAATTCAATTTGTTTGGTAAAAAGATCTTGCAATGTTAGAAAAATTTGGTTGCATTTTTAGGAAAAATTGATGATTATTTTTACTTTATTTTAACCAAATATTCAGATCAATTTGTGTGGTAAAAAAATCGGTGGATTGGTAGGAAATTGGTTTCATTTTTAGGAAAAACTAATGATTCTTTTCAAGTTTTCTTAATAAAAATTTTGAATAAGATTTAAAAAAAATGGCGAGAAAATCCCTAAAAGTTTTTATTTTTTTTAACTAGAATTTTGTCCAATAAATAAGATTTCTTATTTAAAAAAAAAAGTAATTTGTTAACTAATAACTAATATTACGTAATTTTAGATAAAATTCGAACACCCATGTAGTACTCTACGTATTATAACAAAAAATGTTGTACATAAGAAAGTGTTCAATAACATATAAATTTCATTTTCATGATATTTTTAATGTCATGAGACAATTTAAATACAAAAATACCTTTTAAAAAGCAAGGAGGTAATAAATGCTCCCGTGCATCGCACGGGTACTGTACTAGTTATAAAGTAACTGAGATGTTTCCATATAAATTAAACATTTTATAATAACATTGTTCTCAACAAATTTTTGTTGCACATTTTAAATACGGATTATATATAATAAAAAATACCTATGATCATAATTCTGATTAATTTATATAGTTTCATCTAGAAGTTCACATCTACAATTATGTGATCTCAATTAACTTTTTTCAGTACAACTATATAATCTATTTGATGTCTTTGGCTTCCAAAATCAAGAAGCAATAATCATAAATGAAAAGAAAGTGAAATTTCGTTATGTTTCAATAGCTCTCAAACCAAAGTGAAATTTGGTGTCTTTATGTTATTATATTGTCATTACATTGAAAGTTTCTCAAATGGAATTCCAAAAACTCTATTAAGAGCATTGAGAATCAATCAAATCATGATGATATTGAGTGAGCCATTGTGATATGATGTGCCTTTCTTCTTTTCTCACATCTCGAAGCCACTTTGGATCTTCACTTGTTGAGAATCTAAGATCCACGTGATGTGCACCTATAATTTTGAAAAATCATAATATTCTTTCAATGTTGTAAATAAAAAATATGTGATCTTGAAAAAAATTCTCTAACATCCCTCCTATATAGAAATGCAGAGTTTAAGCGTATGTGTCATCTTTTGATGCTTCATAATCCTATGTGTCGAATTTTATTTCTTTATAATCCAATGTATTTATTTTGGAGTGGTTCATATAGATTTTAGATATCTATGTGTGTGCTTGTTAGGACTTTTACAATTATGAAACATGTGATAAACTTAAATTATAAATATATTTTAAAAATTAATAACTTTTGTATTTTAATAATATTTTCATATATAATATATCAATCAGTCGTCTCTTCACGAGCTTGGATGTCTATATTGCATGTATAAATAAATATATATTTACCTTTATAATAAATATTAAATTATACATCAATATTAATTGAAAATAATAAAAATATATATCAATTAAATAAATTCATCTGTTAAATCATTATATATTATGACTTAGAAAAAAAATATTACAATAATATCAATTGATGAGTGCCATTTTAAGTATAAATAATAATATAAATTTTTAGGAATGATATATTTAAAATGTCAACTAAATACTTTCACTTATGTATATTTCTGCAAATTTAGTTATTAAAACCACGAATGTTGCACACTAGTCCTATTATTAACCATAAGACCAATTCAAATACAAAAACATGTGAAAGTAACTTACCTTCTTTCGCAACAATTGCAACTATACTTTCTGATATATTTTTTAGCACCCTGCCATTAAATAAGAAAAATCAAATCATATTTAATGCATAATTTTATTTTATTTTTAAAAATAAAGAAAATGATTATTATGTGCAAAAAATTCTTATCTAAAAGGCTAAACATAAAATAATTATTAATTGTGATAAAGAGCAAAAAAGTTACCCTCCAGGACTCCATGGGTCCCTCAGCCCATTAAAGAAAATTATGTTGCTCCCAGAACGCTTTAATACTCTACCTATGTTCTGCAATACATAACATTTTGTATTATTAACGGAGCTTATTGGGCCAAGAAATGATGATAAATGGGGTAATTTTAAGTTGGGCCTGAAAAGTTACATGGGCTCCAAACTCGGTGGCAATCCAGGTGGGTCTAGGCGCTACTTTGAAATAATCCTTGCAAGATTGAAAGGTACCAGTGTAGGTGTAATTATAGGCCGGGAACATGCTGTCCTTTGAGTCGCCATTTGTTTCTAAAACCATCTCTGTACAGGCCTGAAAAATAAGCCACAAGCCCACAACTTTTCATTTCACTACAGTTTATACTAGTTTACAGTGTAGCTAATTTATTCGTGGTATTCTGGGTAAATCTAGCTGAAAAAGGATAGAAAAGGATAGATAGATGATATCTGATGAGTTAAACCGATAGCTCATAAGTTAGTTTCGTAGCTTATGAGTTATAATCGATGGCTTAGAACTTATACTTTTGGGTAGAAAGTTCAAAATGTCATACCTGCCATGCCCATCCCTCGTTCCCGACTTGACCTGAATTGTCGTTGAGGTCAAAACACTTGGCTTGACCAGTGTAATTGTAGTAGACGCTAGCCGCACGATATAATTTCTCGAATGTGTTCCCGGTCTTTACATTATCGATTGCTTTGCACATCTGCATTTCCATAATAAGTGAGCTCCTAATTTCCACACCAATACAATTAGTTCAAATATGAATAGGAATATTGACTGTGATTGCTAAACCGAACTATAAATAATGAAACCGAGAAAATTGAGTTTGTGTATACTATACGACACCATAAACTTAAATAGAACATTAATTTTTTATTTTTTTTTTCGGTTATTGACTATTATTGTTCATATGATGTATCCATCTTATGATTCGATTAACGAAACATGTCGAAATATTTTACGATCACGAATCTGGATTTGAGAGAGTTTGTGTGTACCTGCTTGACTGGATATGCTGGCAAGGGTTTGAGAAAATTGCTAGAAGTTGGATAATCTGTCATGGCTGTAGAATAGTAAGCTGTATATAGCCAATTTTCTAGAGAACCTACACTTATATGATTCCTATAAAACCAGTAAAAAGATTAATTAGCTTAATACACTAGAAAAATAAAATAATTAACCAAGAATATTATATACACCACTCCAATAATAAAATTTTAATCTTTCAACAGCAATGCCCTAAAAATAAGCATTTAGAAATATAGTAGTTCTTCTTTTTTTTCATACTTGCATATTCTGAATGACTTCCTGAGAATTTCTAGTCCTCTGGGTTTCGCTGCAGTTTCTTCGATTTCTTGCCACGATCTTTTGATCACTTGGTAACAATTCTCACTCTCACTCTAAATTTATGAGGCCAGACAAAAATTAGAAAAAAGGTTAGTATAATTATCAATTCATCAATCTTTTTCATTCACTCTTGACTATAAGAAAAAGATCATCAAGATAGTCATTTGATTTCATTTTAAAAGTCTTCAGACATTTTCAGATACACAATTATTGAGGCAATATTTGCATACATATACTGTTTTTTCTAGTCTCTAGGCCAATAGCAAGCTAGTCATCTTATTATTAGATTAACCAGACATTAACTACATTAATTTTTAACTACATAAACATGAAACAATTTTCATGTGAGGACACGGCACAATTAGAGATGTTAAACGGGCGGCCCCTAGCGGTTTCGGGCTAGCCCTAGCGGGCTTCGGGCTAAACGGTCTGGGCCTAAAAAACCCAGATTTAAACGGGCTACCAATAAAATGACCTAACCCTAAACATAGCGGGCTTCCGGTTAAACGGGTTATACGGGCTATAATAATAATAATAATAATAATAATAAATTACAACACCTAGTTAACAGTTTTTTTCAACGGCTATATAGTATTTACCACTATATATATACAACTACACTTCATATATGAACACACATTGCAAACTCTTAAATAACATATTGTTTCTCAATAGAAAAAAAAAATGTTCGAACTATTACTTATAACTACCATTTTACTAGTTGTTTGGTATGTTTCAGGAATTTTCACTGCTGAATTTATATTCTATCACTATATTCTATGTGTTAGGTCTTTGTGTCATTTGTTTTTTATTAGCGTTCTAATTAGCTTAAGTATTTTGCTGTGAAATATAATAAAATTTGTTAATAATTATATATCAAAATAATAATACTACATTATAACTCATAATTACATGTGAAATAGAATAACAAAATTGTAATATATAAGGAATCAAGAGACATATTCCTTACCTTTCTAAAAACATATACACTACCCAACCCAAGTTAAACGGGCTATCTCTAGCGGTTTTCGGGCTAGCCCTAGCGGGCTTCGGGTTAAACGGTTCGGGCCGGGCTGTCTATAAAAGGCCCTAACCCTGTTTTTCTCCGACTCGGGCCTAACACCATTTAGCATCTCTAGGAACAATATAATATCTTAAGATGCATCATAATTAAATCACAGATAATACATAATTTAAGTCAGCCAGCAATATTATAACTGCAAAATTAGGACAAAAACAGAGTCATGATCTCACTTTACCAAAGAAAAACAAAAGTAACTATGTTTGTTGGAAAACTAAAATCAAATCTCATGAAGGCCTAAAAAAAAAAAAAAAAAAAAAAAAAAAAAGGACCAACCCGAAAATCTTTGGTGATGACATCGTCGAAATTATACGGCGAAGTAATGTTGTCGAAATTTAGAATAGGAGCTGAGGAGGCTAAAGCCCCTATAGCCACATGAGGATACTTCAATCTGAACCATGCAGCCAACACTGCACAAACAAGGGTACAATCGAGTTGAAGTGCAATTTCGACTTTTTACAAAACGCTAAATCATTCAAAACATACAACTTTTTTCTACTTACTTCCGCCATAAGAACCTCCGAAGACTACAACAGGACAATTTTCGGCTGTCAGATTCTTCTTAAGATCGAGAATCAAAGTCGCGTAATCCGCAAGCGCCTGAGTCGCGCTCAAGTAACCGAGCGTCTTGGAATTCGAATACGCTCTCTTATGACTCCCCCCGAAAGGCATTGACTTCCCGTAAAACCTATGCTACATCACGGTTTGTACGTACGACAATTAACATTTCATCCACGGCAAAAGAAAAAAAAAGAGATAGAAATTACCTCGATGAAAACTAACATAGCTCTGAAAACGGGCGCAATTTCGAACATGAAGCCGGTGTTTTGTGCGAACCATTCGATTCCTCCCTCATTTCCTGTGTAGACGAATATCGGGAAATTTCCTTTGGGGCCATCCCAGAAAGTGTCGTTGATTAAGTACCTCTGTTGGAATGTTGAGTAGCTGTTTGGATTGAAGTTGAAGTGATCAAGAATTTGTGTGTAGAACTTCTCTTTATATGGCCTAACAACAGCTTTTGCATCAAGAGAGGCTTGTGCTTGCTCTGGCTGAATGAATGAAAAAGGGAAGCCAATTGGTTTGGTCTTTTTTGTGTTGGTAACATGTGTTGAGAATGATTTAGGACAAAATGAACCAGACAACATAAACACTAACATTAGCCAAATTGCCATGTTTGAGAGAGAGAGAGAGAGAGTGAGAGAGAGAGAGAGAGAGAGATGTTGGCCAAAAGTTTGTATGAATTAAATTTGATGAATATTGTCTGTTTTTTTATAGGAAAAATTCTCATGTTGGTAAACGAAGTATATAGTCAAGATATGGTGAGATTGCTTATTACAGGAAATCTTTGATTTTTATACGAAATATGTCCACTATGTTGAAGATTACAAATACATTTCAATTGTATATTATTCTATGAGACGACATAACTGTTTGGCGGATCGAGCAATCGTAATTTTTATTTTTTTAAATGTATATTTATGCTATAAAATATCATACTTTTATTTGTATTATTTGTAGAGCATAACATTTGAATTTTAAAATATACATATCTATTAGAAAAAATATGACCACTACTTAATATTAGCCTTAGTGCATCTAAATTGTTATTTGTGAGAAAAGTCTGCAATCTTCAAGGGTGAAAAAAAAGTTTAAGAAGCTATGGTTTTAGTCAAATCATTGTATGATTAACTTAAAATAAAAAATTGAAAAAGAGAATGCGCGTATGAATTTTGCAATTCTTCTCTGTTTTCCAATACATACCAAATTTCTACGGAAATTCTGACGTAAATTGTTTTGGGAGATGGAGGGTCAAGTCAATATTCAAAATTGACCAATGCCAAAGTTAATATATTTTATATATATGTGTGTGTGGAAAATGGTAGATAGATGGAAAATGTTTATAATAAATAAATAGTATTTTAGGAAAATACAACAATCCTGTTACGAAACCATTTTGTTGGGATTTGTAACTGTTAGATCATCAAGTAACCGTCAATGATAGTTTATCTAACGGTTACAAATCCAACGGAATGGTTCCGTAACGGGATTGTAGCCTTACCCAGTATTTTATATTTGGTAATATTCTATTTGATTCTTGTTTTTCTGCATTGTGGAAACTCCAAACACTAGTATACTACAGTAGGTGTTGTCAACACAGAGCACACTCAATAATATATAATAAGTTTTTTAAGTGTCTGGATATAAGTTATTTTTTATTTGATTGAATTCATTAGTTAAAAGAATTAATACAAAAAATGGTTGAATTTGGTTTGAGCGAAATTTTGTTTTTATTTGAATAATATTTAAATATAATAATTGAAGTTGATGTAATGTAAAAGTAGACAAAATGTGATTGGAAGAATGTGTATTTAAAATTATATTAGTAGATGAATAGTGAATTAAAATTAATGTGATGTGAGAGCATGATTGATTGATATTATTTAATTATATTGATAATTCTAGTACAATGCCCTGAATTACACAGGTGGTAATTTGAAGAAAAAAATAATTGTGCAACAAAGAATGAAAAAGAAATAAAATTCTTACTGTGAAATAAAAATTATAAATAATTAATAATAAAGTAAAAGAATTTATAATATTATTTTAAATTCTAGAAAATATTTTATATAAATATTATTTGTTTTATTTAATATATAATTATTTTTTCTTAAAATTAAATAGAATAATTAATTTATTCTGTAGTTAATATAATGCCCGTGAACAATTGAGTTCATTAAATAAAAATAAATTATTCGTATAAAAAGAAATTTATATACTTACAATATAATGATAAGAAATTAAGTATAAAACTAATAATTAAAAATTAATAAAGTTAATTATATAAACGAATACTTATATTTTACACTCGATGTGTTAAAATGATATGTTTTACTAGTACAAACACAAACACACACACATACACACATAATACTTATATTATCTACAACTCAATAATTTTATTTTGAATGAATTTAATTTTTTTCCAAGTTTGGTTAATATTTTATATACACAATTTTCTTCCCTCGTTGATTATATTTTTAAATATTTTTTAACTTTATAATATTCAATAATTTAAAATATTATGTGTATGAGTGTAATAGTTTTAAACTTTATAAAATATAATATTTATTTATTAATCATAATTAATATTTTTTTTTAATTTATAATATCATTATAATGTTCAATCTATTTGTAGTCTTTATTTAAGTTGAGATGTATTTAAAATATTTTTATATTTATTTTATGTTCATACTTAGTTTATATATATTCTTTTCAATTAAAATAAATATTTTATGATATGTTAATATTATTATTTTTGTTAAAATAAATATTTTATGAAATGTTAGTATATATCCTTTATGGCATAATTGAAAGATCACGAGATCTTTTTGAACATATTATTCCTAAAAATTTTAATTTCCTTTAATGCTAACGTGAAATCAACTTTTGTTAAGGCCTTCAAATAATCATTGTAAACAAAGACCGATGGACAAAAATGACCTCACCATCATTTTCGCAGCAATCTATATGTATATAATTGCTAGCTAATCCCATTTAATAAAACATTTAATAAAAATATTTTTACTTTCCCTCCAAAAGAAGTTACATATTTTTTTAATTAATTGCTCATTAATCTCACATTTAAGAAGATTTTTTATAGTTAAATTTAATTAGTTAATGACTAAATTATCTTAATATCTTATCAGTTTTTCAAAAAAAATAGTAACTTTTTTCAATAAATTTTATAAAAATTAGTCAAATGTGCTTATATTCATATAAATTAGAAAAAAAATTAAATCTTAGATATATAAAAAGAACATTGTTGAAATAACTTGAATCCGCAAGGGTAATTCTATACTCATTATCAATTACTTTAAATTTTTTATATAAATAAAAAATTAATATTATATTTACTCATTTATATTTAGATGGTATTTTTTTTATTAAGAAGCAAGGACAATCTCTATCAATCAATAAGAGTCAAGGACAAACAATATAAAGAAGTGTTTCCTATGCTATGACATGATCAATAAGAGTCAAAGACAGTCTCTGTCGCACGTCGGCTTACTGCTAAAGAGCTCTGCATTTAGTCATGAGCAATTATACGTGGCGCTTTTTAGAGTTACGAGTCAGTGGGGTTTGAAGATTTTGATTTGAGCTGAGGGAGATTTGGACGATAGAAAAACCACGACATCGTTTTATAAAGAAGTGTTTAAGAATATTTATATTTTTTTTCTTAATTTTTTTCAATGAATTTGTTATGATTTTTACTATTGTTTATAATTTTTATTATTTTTTCATGTATCATATAGTTTTCCGTGCAAATGCACGGAACAAAAACTAGTTCAAATTAAATTTGAACCTTAAAAAAAATGGTTTGTTAGATCATATTATTTTTTGGGTAAGATTGTTGTTTGACATGCATTATGGTTAGATAATTATAATTTTACAATAAATATGCATACTTGCTAATTGAAATGTCATATTTTAAAAAAATAATAATATATTAAAATTATAACATTTATCAACACAAAGTATGTTTTTTATTAAAAAAAATATGATAGTTCATCTGTCTAACATAAAGGCGAAATCAAAATTCGACCTCTCGTAATCAAACTAGTTCACTATTTTGACACCACACCATTCTTTTTCAAGGTGGCACGCATGTGAATCATTGATTTTTTTTAAAAAAAAAAATTAGATTCTAAAAATTTTGGTCTATCTAATTATAACTTTTCAAAACTTTTAAAAAGATCTAAAGCTTTCATTTGACATTTAAAGTGATATTCGTTTTTGAAAGTGAAAAAATTCATGAGATATGAAATTTTATTTAAACCTTTTTAAAACTTACTAATTCAAAGACGAAATACATTTACAAAATCCTACCCGAAATTTCATCTATATACTTAAGATTTCTAACTATTTTAATAAGAAAGGTTTATTTAATTCTTTTTTTTATTAAATAAATCTCAAATTTTAAGATGTCACTCTAAGAAGAATGTACATGTACTTAGAACATTTCTAACGTGACACGAGGAAAAAAAATATATGCAATGTCATAATATTAGACCTCGCGGTCATATTTACCGCTCCAGTGAGAATATGCTTAAGCTATGTTATGATTTTTATGATGAAACGACAAGAATATCGTAGAGCTCACTAAAAATAACAACAAAAATTGCACGAAAAAAATGATAGAGAAGAACACCTCAAAAATCAAAGAAAAAAATTACATTTTAATATTTCAACAAATTAAAATACTTTAATATTTATTTGATTATATTTCATAATTGAAAAAATTAGAATTCAACTAGTGCACGTGATAATAATATTAAAAGTAATTTTATTATGGTTATGATGCAGAAAAGAAATATCAAAAATATTCTTGTAATAACAAATATCGTATTAATATTAAAATTAGTTTTATAAATTTAATATTGAGCAACATAAACTTGGTTTATTCACTTTTTTTTGTGATAAGACACATAATTGAAGAATTTTTTATATATAAAAATAAATTATATTGGAAAATCTTTATTTTGGGGGCGTTGATACATTTTAATTTGGGGCGAAAAAGTCAAATGGTAAAATTGCTAAATGACTAGTATTTATTGTTTTATAAATTTTAACCTTCATTACATAAGAAATATTGGTAGTGAATTTAAATATTTTATATTAAAATAATTAAAAATTTAATATTTAAGATAATTAATTAAACTTAAATATTATTTATATTAATGGATGATTAAAAATTTTACTATTTTAATTAAATAAAATAAACTAAATGACATGATCCAATTGATATAGAACAAATGTGAGTATGTTTAAAATAGTACTAATTCGTCTACAACTCTTGAAAATTAGTATAATGTGATAATGTGTATATATTTTTCCAAACACTATGAAATAATACGAATTTTTTTATTTTGTCTCTCATTTATCATGAATTAAGTATTAAAATTTTTCTATATATTTTCTATTAAGTTACAATATTAAATAATCGTTATAGGTTAGAAAATCAATTAAAATTGTAATTACAATAGAAAATTCAAAACATAAAACCAGTGTTCTAGAAGTAGCTAGGCGTTCGACCAGCGCCTAGGCCGGGCCAAGAAATCTATATATATATATATATATATATATATATATAAGGTTTTTGTTAAAATACATTATTAGAAACTTTTGACCAAAAAAAAAATTGACAATCTAAATATAGAAACCATATTTACTGCATTTATAATATACGAAATTTTAAAATAGTCATACTTCAATTCAAAAATTTGTTTATTAGAGATATTATTGGGATTGTGGATAAGTCACAATTGAATCCATAATT